TCAGATGCTGAGCCGACCCAGGACGCATAACTTACCATCAGACTCTCCATCACTCATGCATTTAGTGTTTCTAATACCTACCTTCCATAAATCCCCTTTTTTAGTAATTTTGACTTTATTTATGAACTCATAACCACTAAATCAGTGAGTGAAAGGCGTTGCCTAGAAATGTACAAAGTTAAAACATAAGCGGCAAGAAAATGACAGCGAAAATACATGCATTATATACTGTTGGTGGGTAAATTTGACCCGCTGGCGCTTATAGGTATAAATGCCCCGTTTTTTATCTGGTTTTATCTAAATCATTTTTAACAACATTGGATTGTAAGTTACATAATTTTAGTAAAAGTCAATGACTGGGAGACTTGAATGTTTTATTTTAAATCTGTTATGTACATTTGAACCGTGGCGGTTCTAGTGTTAAGGGGCGGTCACACACTGCACTTTTCGTTCCATTGACTTCCATTCATACGCATGCTTTATGAAACTCATAACCGCTAAATCAGTGAGTGAAAGGCGTTGCCTAGAAATGTACAAAGTTAAAACATAAGCGGCAAGAAAATGACAGCGAAAATACATGCATTATATACTGTTGGTGGGTAAATTTGACCCGCTGGCGCTTATAGGTATAAATGCCCCGTTTTTTATCTGGTTTTATCTAAATCATTTTTAACAACATTGGATTGTAAGTTACATAATTTTAGTAAAAGTCAATGACTGGGAGACTTGAATGTTTTATTTTAAATCTGTTATGTACATTTGAACCGTGGCGGTTCTAGTGTTAAGGGGCGGTCACACACTGCACTTTTCGTTCCATTGACTTCCATTCATACGCATGCGAATGCGTCAGACCGAAAACGCAAGCTCATGCAAAAAGTTTCGCATTTCGCTGCATTCCAAAGTTCAAGCTTGGTGAACTCTGACCTGTGAATTCGCATCACGTGAATCCATGTGACCAACAGCAGATTGATAAGTCACAGCATGACCTCGTAACTGAATTAAAAGAACCTAAATTTAAAACTGCAGTGCTGCAGGAAAGTGAAGTAGATTGTATATATTTACAGTGGGTACGGAAAGTATTCAGACCCCCTTAAATTTTTCACTCTTTGTTATATTGCAGCCATTTGCTAAAATCATTTAAGTAATTTTTTTTTCCTCATTAATGTACACACAGCACCCCATATTGACAGAAAAACACAGAATTGTTGACATCTTTGCAGATTTATTAAAAAAGAAAAACTGAAAAATGCTCAGTATTTAGTAGAAGCACCCTTTTGATCTAATACAGCCACGAGTCTTTTTGGGAAAGATGCAACAAGGTTATATCCACTGGATTTGGGGATCCTCTGCCATTCCTCCTTGCAAATCCTCTCCAGTTCTGTCAGGTTGGACGGTAAACGTTGGTGGACAGCCATTTTTAGGTCTCTCCAGAGATGCTCAACTGGGTTTAAGTCAGGGCTCTGGCTGGGCCATTCAAGAACAGTCACAGAGTTGTTGTGAAGCCACTCCTTCGTTATTTTAGCTGTGTGCTTAGGGTCATTGTCTTGTTGGAAGGTAAACCTTAGTTCCAGTCTGAGGTCCTGAGCACTCTGGAGAAGGTTTTCGTCCAGGATATCCCTGTACTTGGCCACATTCATCTTTCCCTCGATCGCAACCAGTCGTCCTGTCCCTGCAGCTGAAAAACACCCCCACAGCATGATGCTGCCACCACCATGCTTCACTGTTGGGACTGTATTGGACAGGTGCCTGGTTTTCTCCACACATACCGCTTAGAATTAAGGCCAAAAAGTTCTATCTTGGTCTCATCAGACCAGAGAATCTTATTTCTCACCATCTTGGAGTCCTTCAGGTGTTTTTTTAGCAAACTCCATGCGGGCTTTCATGTGTCTTGAACTGAGGAGAGGCTTCCGTCGGGCCACTCTGCCATAAAGCCCCGACTGGTGGAGGGCTGCAGTGATGGTTGACTTTCTACAACTTTCTCCCATCTCCCGACTGCATCTCTGGAGCTCAGCCACAGTGATCTTTGGGTTCTTCTTTACCTCTCAACATTCTTCAAAATATCTTCTTTTGTGCACAACAGAACAAAGAAACTCATACAGGTTTGGAACAACTTGATGTAAGGAAATGATGACAATTTAAATTTTTTGGCCAAATGAAGCCTTTAAGTTTTCTGTAACATTATGTTCACATATGCAAACGTTGCATTATCTAATTAAATATGCACTCATTTGCATATATTTCCAGAATAATAAACTGAACATTGCATAAAGCCTGGTCCAATTTTTTTTTTACATATTAGAGTTAAAGGCTTTTACTGAGGGGATCTCTCTTTTAATCGCTCCATAAATCACAAAATACCGCCAGAAAAAAACCACCATATTTAGAGGTTACAGTGGGTACGGAAAGTATTCAGACCCCCTTAAATTTTTCACTCTTTGTTGTATTGCAGCCATTTGCTAAAATCATTTAAGTTAATTTTTTTTCCTCATTAATGTACACATAGCACCCCATATTGACAGAAAAACACAGATTTGTTGACATTTTTGCAGATTTATTAAAAAAGAAAAACTGAAATATCACATGGTCCTAAGTATTCAGACCCTTTGCTGTGACACTCATATATTTAACTCAGGTGCTGTCCATTTGTTCTGATCATCCTTGAGATGGTTCTACACCTTCATTTGAGTCCAGCTGTGTTTGATTATACTGATTGGACTTGATTAGGAAAGCCACACACCTGTCTATATAAGACCTTACAGCTCACAGTGCATGTCAGAGCAAATGAGAATCATGAGGTCAAAGGAATTGCCTGAAGAGCTCAGAGACAGAATTGTGGCAAGGCACAGATCTGGCCAAGGTTACAAAAAAATTTCTGTTGCACTTAAGGTTCCTAAGAGCACAGTGGCCTCCATAATCCTTAAATGGAAGACGTTTGGGATGACCAGAACCCTTCCTAGAGCTGGCCGTCTGGCCAAACTGAGCTATCGGGGGAGAAGAGCCTTGGTGAGAGAGGTAAAGAAGAACCCAAAGATCACTGTGGCTGAGCTCCAGAGATGCAGTCGGGAGATGGGAGAAAGTTGTAGAAAGTCAACCATCACTGCAGCCCTCCACCAGTCGGGGCTTTATGGCAGAGTGGCCCGACGGAAGCCTCTCCTCAGTTCAAGACACATGAAAGCCCGCATGGAGTTTGCTAAAAAAACACCTGAAGGACTCCAAGATGGTGAGAAATAAGATTCTCTGGTCTGATGAGACCAAGATAGAACTTTTTGGCCTTAATTCTAAGTGGTATGTGTGGAGAAAACCAGGCACCTGTCCAATACAGTCCCAACAGTGAAGCATGGTGGTGGCAGCATCATGCTGTGGGGGTGTTTTTCAGCTGCAGGGACAGGACGACTGGTTGCAATCGAGGGAAAGATGAATGCGGCCAAGTACAGGGATATCCTGGGCGAAAACCTTCTCCAGAGTGCTCAGGACCTCAGACTGGAACTAAGGTTTACCTTCCAACAAGACAATGACCCTAAGCACACAGCTAAAATAACGAAGGAGTGGCTTCACAACGACTCTGTGACTGTTCTTGAATGGCCCAGCCAGATCCCTGACTTAAACCCAATTGAGCATCTCTGGAGAGACCTAAAAATGGCTGTCCACCAACGTTTACCATCCCACCTGACAGAACTGGAGAGGATCTGCAAGGAGGAATGGCAGAGGATCGCCAAATCCAGGTGTGAAAAACTTGTTGGATCTTTCCCAAAAAGACTCATGGCTGTATTAGATCAAATGGGTGCTTCTACTAAATACTGAGCATTTTTCAGTTTTTCTTTTTTAATAAATTTGCAAAAATGTCAACAATTCTGTGTTTTTCTGTCAATATGGGGTGCTGTGTGTACATTAATGAGGAAAAAAAATTAACTTAAATGATTTTAGCAAATGGCTGCAATATAACAAAGAGTGAAAAATTTAAGGGGGTCTGAATACTTTCCGTACCCACTGTACATTTTAGATGTATTATAATTTATGTGTTGAATTTTAAGTTTTTAAAAAGGCGCTGCAGAGCATGACATCACGACCGTTGCAGCATTCGAAACAATTTTGCCTGCTCAAAGTCTAGTGTGACCGCGGCTTTATTGAGCCACCAGACAGTCATCAGACTGTTAAAACGGTAGTTGATCCACACATGTAATATCTCTGTCATTTACTCGCTCTCAGAAATTAAACTGGTTTCGTCTGGCCAGAGGGGATGGGCGATATCTTATCGTTTTCGATATACCGGTAAAAATTCTTCCCACGATGAGAATAAAGGTCCTTGCACACGGAGTCCGAAATTTTCGTATGCATTTTTTCGTATTCGTCACCCTTTCCTATCAAAATGCTTGCTACTGATGCGAAAACGCAGAAAATCAAACCTGGTCCAATTTTATTTTATTTATTTTTTTATGACAGACGAAAGTTTCGGAGGCAGTGTGTGAACGTGATTGACACAACATGAGGTCGTATTTTTTTTTTTTTTTTACCTGCAAAAATTTCTTATGAGAATTTCGGACTTGGTGTGCAATGACCTTTAGTCTTCCCGCGATAATAACGATAAAGTCTAGTTCCGTGTGCGACCGTGGTGGAGCGACATGGCGGAAGGTGAACGTGAAATTGGGGAGCAGTTTATCACTAAATGAGGAGCTACTTTTTCAATCTGGAACTGGTTTGGTCAGGGCTGTACAGTGCGACAAAAAATCGGTCTGAGCCTTGAATAAATATACTACAGTAGCATGTGTGCGATACAATTTTGCATGTGTATGAGCCTGTTTACAAACCTGTTGTCCTACAAAGATATTATTTATTGACATACTTTTTCTCCAAATTAACTTCATAACATCAGTCGAGTGTTTGAAATAACTTTTTGTGATCAGACGTGGTTTCATATCACAGAATGAGGCAGAAATCATACTATTTTATAGTATTATATACAGTGCTAAAGGCTATGTCGATATATTCTAAAAATACCCAAGATTGCTTGAAGAACACAGTTACACCATATATTGTCGCAATATGTGACCCTGGAGCACAAAACCAGTCATAAGGGTCAGTTTTTTAAAATTGAGATTTATACATCAATACATCGTTTATACAAGCCTTCCATTGATGTATGGTTTGTTAGGATAGGACAATATTTGGTCGAGATACAACTATTTGAAAATCTGGAATCTGAGGGTGCAAAAAAATCTAAATATTGAGAAAATCATCTTTAAAGTTGTTCAAATGAAGTTCTTAGCAATGCATATTACTAATCAAAAATTAAGTTTTGATATATTTACGGTAGGACATTTACAAGATATCTTCATGGATAATGGTTTTTGGCTTAAAAAAAAAAAAAGAGGGATAATTTTGAGCCATACAATGTATTGTTGGCTATTGCTACAAATATACCCCAGCGACTTAACACTGCTTTTGTGCTCCAGAGTCACATATGTTTTTTGTCTTCAAGTTTCATCAGTTAAAATTTTTCTATCTGCGTTTTATTCAGCGATAACTGGATGCCTTTGTCCATATTAGGGATTTCCTGGAGCGTCATCAGTGCTATTACTTCTGCGATGCATATGTGGAGTTTCTGCGCGAGGGCGCCCTCTGGCTTCCAGTGTGAATTAAACAGTCATTACGTTACGTGTGTGCTCAGTAATGCTTATAACACCTTATTTTGGGTAAAAATAGGAAAGAGAATACTTTTCTCTAAAGAAACAGGATTCTCTGAGTTATCGTCATTGATATCGTTATCGCAATAAATACCAGAAGTTATCGTGATATATTTTTAAGCCCATATTGTCCAGTCCTAAACGTCACACTATTCCGACACACTGTTTCCCCGTTTAATACCGTAAAGCTGCTCTGACACTATCTGCATTGTAAAAAGCGCTCGACTCACACTGTTCCAAACCGTTATGATTCGCAGGTGCTGTCCATCATCCTGCACCTCATCTGTCTGCTGGAGAAAGTGCCGTGCACCGTGGAGCAGGACCACTTCAAGAAAGAGACCATCTACAAGTTCCTGAAGCTGCAGGCCTGCGGGAAGAACGGCTTCAGTCCGCTGCACCTGGCGGTGGACAGGAACACCACCTGCGTGGGCCGCTACCCCGTCTGCAAGTTCCCCTCCTTCCAGGTGGCTTCTATCCTGCTGGAGTGCGGCGCAGACGTGAACTGCCGCGACGAGGACGACAACAGCCCTCTGCATGTGGCTGCGTCCAACAACCACCCCGACATCATGAACCTGCTGATCTCCTGCGGCACGCACTTCGACAGCACCAACTCCCTCAAGCAGACGGCCTGCGACCTGCTGGACCAGAAGGAGCTGGCCAAGAACCTGATCCAGCCCATCAACCACACCACGCTGCAGTGTCTGGCTGCGCGCGCCATCATCAAACATGGCCTGGCGTACCGCGGGAACATCCCCGAGCGGCTGGAGGCCTTCGTGCTGCTGCACAGATAGTGCTTCGCTCGGAGCCCTGCTGCGTTTCATCGCCTTTGCTTTCTCTATGCAGAGACGGTCGGAGCGGTGGGTGCTGTTCTGCCAGCATTAGGGCGATAAATCCATATGGATTCTGAGATCTTCTGAATGCATCACGATTCTCTCTGGAATGGATTCTGAGCGTAGAGTTTAACAGCAGATGGCGCTCTGCTCTAGTTTTTATCTGCTCACTCAAATGCTCGTGAAGAAGAGCGCTTGTACGTTCGGCTGAGTCTGTAACTTCACCTCGGCTCACAATGCTTTTATGACGCCAGTTAGGGTTGCAAAGGGGTGGAACATTTGCGGAAACTTTCCAAAAATTCCTGGAATATTCCAAAAAAAATCCTGGAAAGTTTCCAAAATTTACTGGAAATTTTCCACCGTTTTGCAACCCTACGCCAGATTAATGTAAACACAGACCACTGTGATTCGCTTCAACCTTTTCGAACCTTATGAATGATTATTTTAGGTTCGAGTGTGTGTAAGGATTTGGAGACGAGCAGAGTTTGGCTGTTTCTGAAGCATGCAGTGTTCAGAACTAAGCTCAGAATCGACTGGAGAAAGAATCGCCACGCATTCGGAAAATCTCAGAATCGATGCGGAATCATTTCTCGATTCGCGATGCATGGGTTTATTTTCCCAGCCCTTGCGAGCGTTACGTGCTTGATGTTTGCCGATACCATAAGTGCTTTTATTCTTCCTATGCACAGGCTGTAATATGGGACTGTTCTGTGTTACTGGATTGTGCCACGTGTTCATGCGAATGCCTGTTTTTGGTCCTCTTTTCCTCTCCGTCTCCTGATCCGATGGAGGAACGACCTGCTCGAGGAAACGCGTCTCTGTTGAATGTTTAATCTTTGAACCCAAACCAAACCTCCCGATTGTTATGGCACCGCACGTGCTGGCGTTTCGCGGTTTAAACCAGCGGCATTATAACATTACCAGCTCTGCTTGAAGTCTGAGTTTGTGATGATGATGATGATGATGGAATCTTCAGCTCGGTGTAGTTTAAGTTCAGCTTCAGCTACTTTTGTGCTGTTTGAACTCAAGGGCTTTCGATTCTCTTACAGGCACAATACACTAGTAAATAAAACAGATGTACAGTCAAAGGACTTGCACTTTATTGCAGTGAAATTTGATATTCATATTATGATAGCATAAAGCTTGTTGATGTCCTTAGAGCATAATTGACAATAAACCTCTGTTGCACTTGAGTGTTTGTGTGTTTTTTTCAGGTGTGAAGGGGATTTCTCTTCTCTGTGTGTCATTAGATGTCATCACAGACAGTGTTTTTGTGTGGAAACACCAGTAGAATCACATCTAAAGAGCTGAAACACACTCAGGTGCTCTCTGGAGAAAACCCTGCAAATGTTCAGTGACTGCGATGCTTCTTTCTGTTGTTTTCTCTCATGTTTTGTGTGTAAACTGCTTCTCTACCTGATGATAAATGACACTTGTTTTGATAGTTGGTGTATTGATGCTGAATATGTGTTTTATTCTCTTGTTTTCCTGGTTCTAGAGATGATTTGTGCTTTCTGATGACTCGGAGAGGGTGTGATCTGTGTGTCGCTCAGTTCCCTGTTGGACTGTCTGCAGTCTTTAGTTCTCTTAACCCAACACTTTTAAGTCTCCTTGAAGTCAGAATGAAATGAACCTCTTCTATTTTCTCACTGCTGTAAATGATACATCGTCTCATTGAGCCTCCAGACCGTCATCAGACGTTTCAGCCAGTCATGATCCTCTCGTGTAATATCTCTGGCATTTACTCGCTCTCACACGGTTCCAAACCTTTATGATTTCTAGGGAAATCCTGGCCTTTTTTATCAATAACATGTCTGTCTAATGAAGCTTTAGCATGGACTCACAATCTTACAGAAATTGGGATTTCAGCATATTTGTGCATGTGTGTAATTTTACAAAGAAATATTTTATGCATTTCTTTATTTGCTGAATTCATGGACCGTTGTCTTATTACTGTCTTTTAACACCGGCGAGCTCTCTGATTTCCCCTCACACTTTTCTCTCTGTTTTTCTTTCGGGATTCGAAATGTGACACTTAGCCTACTTTTGTGGTGTCTTTAAATAACCTTAGATAATGTCCCGCTCAAAACATGTCCTACACCCAGGCCTACATCAGTGCGTCCTCCGGCACGGAGACGAAGCGTTCCTCAGACTCGACCCGGCGTGAGATATTCCTCAGGAGTGTTTATGGAAGTGTGATGAACGAGACACTCGGGCTTCTGTGAGTGCTGCAGCAGATCATCATTGATGCGGACAGACATCTCCACACGCTGCTCTGAGAGAGTTCAGTCTCTAAAACAACCATAAAACATTTATCAACTGAAGAAATCTTTGCTCTTTGATTTCTTTGGCAGATGTTGCACATGGATTGGTTTCTGTGTAAAACTCTACGAGAGTTTGTGACCAGTGTGCAGATCTTCTGGATGCTTGTGTTAGATGTGCTACTGGGAACCTGCAGTGAAGCTAATGGGTGTTGTTTGTATGTCCAAAGGTGTCTTTACACCAAGTTACAGCTGTTTAAAATTCTATGTAAAGACACTGCAGCATAAAAGCCTGACTAAATTACGCCTGCTCTTAGCCTCCTCGGACCGCAGGATCAGTGCTGATTGAAGGTGCAATAGCTGTGTAAATGCTTTTATGCAAACAGTGTTTGCCATGTTCAGAAACGCTTTGGTGTCATATTTGCCGTATAAGTTTGGTGCAACACCGGTACAGATGACCAAATACTGAGTGATAAAAATGAAGGCTTTGATTTGAATATTTGCTCAAGACGGGCAGATTCTGTGTTGTCTTATTGCATAGAGATGTTTCGAAGCGACAGAATTACAGCTGTTCAGAGCCTCTGCTATGCTTTATGTACTGTATATGAATCTTCCAGAAACCTGTGGTCGGGGTCAGCCGGGGCAGAAATTACTGTTAGCTGCTTAATAGCCCAAAGAAAGTAGCATTGCATTGATCTTCAAGACACTATGCACTAAACCGGGTTTGTTTGGCATTTCAAACTCTACAGTGGCTCTCTATGACAGGAGGATAAAGAGGGAGAAATAAATAAACAGTCCAGCTAATTCTCTCTGTGTTGCTCTGGAGGCTCAATCTATTAACGCTCCCAGATAATTGTCTGGCATCACTGGGGATCTACTATCACAGATATCCCGCTGATGGAGCTCAGCGCCGAGTAAACCAGATCATCTTCTCTATCACCACTGATCGATTGGTGAGAGTTCGTTGTCCTGTTCCTATTGGAGCTGTTAGAATGGCCAAGGGTCAGCGACCTCCACGTAACACTGATCGTGCAGAGCAAACCGTAAGTCGTAGAGAGCTGAAACTGGGAGGGATGGTAGTACTCACACCGCCTACAACATGACCAAGGCTCGCCCCAATCGGCCTGACGGGGGCGCTACAGCCATCAAAGTACGAAATCGCTCATAAACCGTCGGTCGCAGGCTCGAGAGTTTTAAGTCGTTGGAATCCTTGGCTCACGCCGGACAAAACACACGCCTCAGATTCAATCGTCTGCCGAAATTTTCGGGTATTTTGGATTTTTTGAATAACCTAATTTTTTGCAAAATAGTCCTAGGTTTTGTTTTTTATCCGATCGGAACCAAACCAGTGCAGGAAGATTCTCCAGAGAGTGAATATCAGTAATTATCAAAAAAAGTGTAACTTTTAACTCTCTGTCGCAAAAGGGCGCCAAAACGTTTGAAAGGGGCAGGGCTTCACTAAAACAGCTATCACTTTAGAACGGAATGAGACATCTTCGCCAAACTCACAACACGCATGTAAGAGCTGAATCTGAGGTCACGTAAAAAAAATATTTAAAAAAAAAAGTCGCGAAGCTTGGCCACTTGGTGGTGCTATAGGAGGGGAAAAAACATAACAACGGCCATATACGCAACCATTTGTCCTATCGACATGAAAATCGTGTGCACGGTCCAAAGTGCCGCAAGTGTCTTTAAGGACATTTGCGTATCTTAAAGGGGTCATATGATGTTGCTTAATTTGACCAGTTTGGCTGGCTTAAACATGCTGGTCAAGCAGAAAATTGCTGGTAAAAGCTGTAACACGTGTTGGACTGCTGCAGCTCAGGTAATGCGTCACCTCTGAATCCTTATGTCTGTCTCTACAACAGATGAAGACACACAATTATCTCAGTGATGACAAATGGGATTAAAATAACTCAACTTCAAGGTAATATTAACACACAAACAACGCATATAACAGAGGGAATTAAAGCAAACTATTTATTTTTATGAATAATAAACGTCTTCAAAACTTCACCGCAAGGCCCATTTACAGCATGCATCCGAAAATTAATTGAAACATCCACAGAAAAAAGTTATATACTATAAAGTATGACAATAAATTCAAGCTTCAATATAAGATAATAAAGCCTACACCTTAAGTACTTAGCAGATAAATGCTTAACGTAATATATACGATAATTATTAAACATATGATAGCAAAAACATTACAGACTACTCACCTTGCTCTCTCGTTGTCAATAACTCCGCCCCTCACTTCCGGTTCTGGTGCGGCGGGTCTCTCACTTCGGCGGACGTCGTTAGTGCGTCGTTACCATAGCAACAGTTCAAACAAAGCCGCACACAGATCGGTGGCTGATATTTGACGTGTTTCGCTCGGTTTCTCGCTGCGTCTGATTAACGATTATTACAGCCGTTCGCTTATAGTTATAGTTTCTGTTTTGCATCGCGCTTATGACCAAATGTCTGTGGCGGGTTTTCAGCGGGAAGCGGAAGCTCTCAGAAGACTGTGAGTGCGTCTGATTGTGTTTCACAGCGTTCCTCGTGTCTGTGTGGTTTATTAGAGATGTCTCTCTTCATTAATAGATTATTGATTTATTCACTCAGCGTGTGTAAAGAGGAGAGAGAGTCGAGGAGGCACGAGCTCAGAGACACTTCCAGCGCGCTCCGGGATCACATGCAGGCGCAGCTCCTGGCGGACAGTAAGAACTTAGAGGCGTACTCATAGTGTGCTTTATATGTCACTGTAATACACTTGTTAATCTTCGCAGTATCAGAAGTGTAATCGCGTTCATTCAGTCTCATCACTGCGGACTTGGCAACACTGCGAAGTTGCGCAGGCGCTGTGAGGGGGAAACAGGGAAACTGAATTCACCGGAACACCGGCACTGCAGGGTTGCCAAGTCCGCTGTTTGCCCTCAAATTAGGGTTGCCAAGTCCGCAGTTTCCCCTCAAATTAGGGTTGCCAAGTCCGCAGTTTCCCCTCAAATTAGGGTTGCCAAGTCCGCAGTTTTCCCTCAAATTAGGGTTGCCAAGTCCGCAGTTTCCCCT